TGTGTGTGTGTGTGTGTGTGTGTGTGTGTGTGTGTGTGTGTGTGTGTGTGTGTATTCCCGTGGCCCGGAGTGCCTGCGGTGATTGAATGCCATCTTGCCGCAGGCCAGATCGTTCAACTGCGTCTCTCCTCGGCTCCCTGTTGTAACTCTTTGTATGCGTGTCCTCTGTCTGCCTGATTGTATATACAGCCCATAAATGATATTAACGGATACAGCCTACAGGGAAGATGGCGGTGATAGCACAAACATACTATCAAGAGTTGACACTGAGAAATACTGGCAGGAATTAAGTCAAAATTGAGGCCTTAGAGAGGGTCATGTCAACATGGAAGTCATCCTTTCTGAAACCCTACAGGAAATTTAGCCCAAAAATAAAAAAAATAAAAATTGAGCTACCATTACCAACATCTGAGTTGCACAAAAACATACTCACTATGTAATTACTGCAGGGTTTGTAGTCTGCCTTCTGGGACTACAAGAGTTAATCAACCTGTTCTCGCTACATGTTAGTGGCAGAACATGACTGCACATGACTGAGCTGAAAGATTTATATGAGCATTTGTAGAAACGGTATGTAATCATTTGTAAATGGAAAGAATTTCAGCTCCTCCACTTTGGACTCTCAGTACTTTTGTCAAGACCGGTTGTTTGGTTTACTTAAAGGGGAAGAATTATGTGTTTTCCAGCCACAAAGTATCATTTAAAAACACAAACAAGTAACTATGTCACCTTCAGTTATTACAAAAATGGTATGTACATCAAATCTGAATTAAAAGAAACAATGATTTTGTTATTTAATGCCTTTAAATTGGGCCAGTGTCTCTGAAACTTCTGCTTTTTCTGAAACTCCACCTTCAGGAAATCATAGCGACATGGCTTCTCTACTAACCGTTTAGCAACGTTTTTACCAATGTTGCACTGAGGAGTAGCTTGTACGATGAGCTCAGCTGATGCTCAGTTCCACCAGGTGTTTGCTAACTACTGCTGGCTAGTTTGAAGGAGCTGACTGGGGGAGAGAGCTGCTCTGTGAGGCAGAAGCTTGGAAACTGCAGCTCTGAGGAAGAGCTGCACCTCGAAGGCGGGGCTAGGTCCAACCAGGCGTTCCACCTCACAAACTCCCCTGCTCAGCTCCTTCAGACTAGCCAGCAGCAATTAGCAAACACTGGGCTGCCTTTTTCTCTTCATTACATGAGATAAAAACTGTTAAGACTCAAGTTTCAGATCAGGAGACTATGTCAAGTCTGAAGTCTTTGTATCTTTGCTAGTCATCATCTCTGTTGTCAATGTTTGCCCAATCTTTCCCTTATCTGATCTAATATAATTTACCACATTAATTAACCAATTTAGATTTAATCTTGAAGTTGGGAAAGCATTCCTAGGTAGAATTTGAAGAACATCTTACATGAAGATGTTAAAGTAGAGTGTCGTCTGAAATTCAGGTACCAAGCTGCTCATTTCTACAGTCCAGATATGTGACCACATAAAAATCAGCAAAGGAACCCTCCTCCTAGTTCACTGGCTTCTCTCTCTTGTAAAGAATAGTGAGAAAAATATGTATTCAGATAATCAGTGGTGGGAAGTAACGAAGTACAAGTACTTTGTTACTGTACTTAAGTACAATTTTCATGTATCTGTACTTTAAATCTAAATCTTTTACTCCACTACATTTTACAGTAAGTATCTGTACTTTCTACTTCACTACATTTCTACAAAACTGTCGCGTTGCTCGTTACATCCAAGTCGCGTTGCTCTTTTTTTCCGTTAAAATGTGAAGTTCAGGGACTTAAGGTGGCGCCGTAAAATCCAAGCAATAACGTGACTTAGTGTCTGTTGTCACCCATCGCCTCCACCTTTACTCGAACGCAGAGCTCCAGACATGCGCAGTGGTTTCCTCTGAGCGGGAGAAGATGTCTGTCTGATCGTCAGTAATATAATAGCTTCGCTTTCACAGACGGTGGGGACTTCGTCCAACTTTTAGCGTCACTTCGAAGGAAACCTTAAAGAAAGGTAAGATCTGTGGACGTGATGCTAGCAAAACTAGCTGTACAGAGACACATGTTGCATCTGCGATGAAAAAAAGTTGTCACTCATGCGCTGAATTATTGTGTTGACTGAGGTGTCCGTATATGGGACAACGCTGTGACCAAAGTCTGCATTGATATGACATTCAGAAACGATCCGATTCTTCTGGACATATCTTTATTGATTAAATTTATTTCAGCTCTAAGTATTTAATATCTAGGTGTTTTATGGAAATGTGGATCTTTCAGATCAATTTGAGAAGCAATTTTGAAGGTAAAACTTAATTTTTTTGTGTCACGTAGCGCCGGGTGCTGGTCTTGGTCCTGACTTGGTCTTGGGTAGGAGGTCTTGACTACAACTCTGCTCCGTGGCTCCTGGTTCCATGTCCTTCCCACCCACCTTCTTTCCATCACCTTTCTGTTGGATTTCTTTCAAAATAAAAGCCACTAGTGGCAAAAAAAAGTGAAGTTCATGTTATGTTAGGACAGGAGA